TTTGATAAATAGTTGTTGAATTTTTAATGAATAGTTGTTGAATTTTTAACAAATTATTAATAAATTATTTGACAAATTATTAATGAATTTTTTATAATTGTTAAATTTTTAATTAATAAATTTTTGATTATCAAATTTTTTGTTTGTTAAATTTTTAATTACTGAATTTTTAATCGCCACTTTATTGCTGAAATAGTAATATGTTAAGTAGTAGTAATTAAAAAGAATTCAATAATATTTTTATTATTAAATTAATTAAATTTAACAATAATTCAGCTACTTAATGACATAATTTTAACTAATGTTAACTATATATAAGTATTATCTTATTAAAAAACTATATAATTCTCTCTTAATTTTTTTTAAATTATTTTTATTTAAGAGTAATCTGATTATTAGATTATTGAATTTTTTTTTATTTTATTCTTTATAAATTTCTTAGTTTTTTGAAATAATTTGTAGATTTCTTATTTTATCAAAATCTCTTAATAGTTAAGTCTATAAAAAGCAACATAGTCATATATTTGAATTCTTAAATAAAAGTTTAAATATTAAGCTAAAACCTATTTTTCTTTAATTAATTTAATATTTCTTTTATTAATAATATATTATTGATTCAATATTTATCTTTTAATTATTAAATCTTTTTTTTTTTTTAAAAAATTTTTTTTAACTGATATTAGATATGAGCTCTTTGTTAAAAATTAACTTAATATTGATAAATAATAAAATTTATAGCATAACGTAGACCTATGGGTCAATAGCACAGTGGTAGTACTCCCAGGTCACCAAATACTGTTTCTGAGTTCAATACCACTGCGAGGCAACATCACCTAAGCCTAGGTGGTACAGAAAGATTCTGTTCAGCTTATAATGATGATCATCACCACTTAAGGCCAAGATTCTGTTTGATTACGAGATAACCAAAAATTACAAGATGCCTCAATTAATTTTAGTGCTGAAGCCACCTCGCCATACATGGAAAGTTCCACAATCTCCTGCAGATAGATTGAAGATCTGTTAGACATAAAAACTGGGTACTAATGAAGCTCTGGCACATTAGTTTGAGAAAAGTCTCTACCAATTGAGATCTGTCCAAGATTTCATGTAATCTCTCTATAGGCAGGTCATAATAGATCATGTAAAAAGGGTTTTTGGTGTGATGAGATGATATTGAAGACTCCATGTGGGTACTTCATAGGCATACTATAATAGGTATTGTAAAAAGAATATCAAGCGGGATGAGATAAAAAAAAGGGGGTCCTGTACCTTGACCCAATGGCAAAAGCCGGAAAAGGGTATAGATGTAGGGGTGGGTAGTTGGACTTCCTCCAACAACAAGTCACATAGGTGTTGACGGAGGTTGTAATAATCAATTGATTGTAACAATCACTTGTCGTAAAAACGGGTTTATTACTTAATATGTAAGACCATAAAAAAAACATAGATGTAAGTTAAATAGAGTACAGAATATAACACTATGTAATTAATTTCACAGTTAGTGGTGACTTTACAATAATAAACAGGTTTTATTTAACTTATAAAAAAAAAAAAGTAGCATAATATCAATTATCTTATATAAATTATATATTTTTATATATATATAAATTAATAATAACATATTATAGTTTATATATTATGGCAAGATAATCAAAAAAGAAGCAAAAAAATGGATAACGAATATGCAAGAAAAAGATCATAATCATTTTTGAAAGAAAATATGAAATACAAGATATGAAAAAGTAATTGAATAGAAACAAAAATCAGAAATCTGCAAATACGTTAAGATAAAAAGACCATTATATCTATGAAATTAGGAAAGAAAGAGCAAAAGTATAGAAAATCAATTTAGTAAGAAACTGATATATGAAGAAAAAAGAATTGAAGACAAGAAATTAAAAGAAACCCTATTAAATGGTATGAAATATGGTATAAAGTGATTGAGTTTTGATCTCTGTTAGAGCTCAAAAGAGTTATCTGTAGTAGTAACCTGTAGGCAATAATGTTAAAAGTTGAAAAAGTTTTTATCTAAACCTTTAATAAAGTGATAAATCCTTTCTAAAGTTGCATTTAGAGAAGTAATATAATCAAAATAAGTGAGTTAGTTAGAGATTTAGCTTTAGTGTTTCATTTAATATGTACAACTTACAAATGTTTAATAAAATACATATAACTAACTTGATAGAGGGTTAAAAAAAAATAACCTATTATAGTTTATCTAAGTAGAATTACTATCACTTATTGAGTAAATAAATCTAACTAGTGATTAAATAGTTAATATAAATTATTGACAATAATACTAGACTAGTTAGTATTGAATTTAAATTATTAATTTAAAATTTTGATTCAACTCTTTCCGCTGATCCTCTGACCAAATACAAAAAAGATATTCACAAGAAGTTTTTATACTTTTAAGCTAATAAGTCTTACTACTCTTTTAAATCAATTTGAAGAAACTTCAAGAGTCATCAGCTACTTCCTCTCCTCTTGCTTACTATCCCCTTCAAACAAAAACTTGACTTCTAGTGATCATAAAAGTCAAGAAAAACCTTTCCTACCAATGACAAGTAAGTTTTGAAAGAAAGAAGAACTAATGTGCCATCATCTCACACTATAAAGAAATATCACAAAAGTTCTTAATGATGAGAGACAACTTTTCCACTCTCTTGTCATTTGTTTGGCTTCTCATAGTGCTTGTTCTTGATTTTTTCTGGGGAATTTTGCCTACCTTAATTTGATCCTGAATTTTGAGTAGTACAAAGTTTCTCACACTATGATTGGACAGATAGAGCTCATATTAGTAAAGGAAAGTAAACAAGCTTCCATTGGTCACTTCATGTGTCTGAATGCATTTCTTCAACTCCATAAGAACCTGGGGTCCACCATAAGTCATTGGTCTGAATACAGGTAGATATAGGACATCTCTTCATTTATATTATTGGTTCCTTCAAGAAAGAGTCTGTTCGACCATGGTAAAGGTCACAAGATACTATAACTAGGTTTTATGGTTATAGTCACCTACCCCTGGCTATCAAGTAGATTCCTTCTTTAGCTCTATCGAATAGATAAAGATTCGAAATATAAGTTCCCATAGCAAAGTTGGATTACATGACAGGCGAGATATAAGGGGATCAAAATTTTTTTTTTGGGGGACGATATGTCTTACCTGAGCACATTAGTTAGGGAAAATCTAGAAGAATCGACAAATCTTCTTTTTTGGTACGTGAATTAGATTGATCTGAATAATTCTCTTTGATGACAAGCCATCCCATAGATTGAAGTGGTTAGAATTTCATAATATAGAGATACTGAAAGCAGCTGAGAAACAGGCAATGTGTTCTCAACTGACGAAGCCCTCAAAGAGTAACCAGTTTACAGAAATAAAGTGGTAGTAGTAGCGTAAAATTTTTAATCCTCACAGACAATTCTAGGAGTGTTTTATTAGTAATTATTTCTTGTATACGTATTCATTTACCCTGACTTGAAACTTTAATAAAACAAGGTTGAGTCATCATTTAAAAAAAAATAATTGAACTTAAATTATAAATATTTATATTTTACTAAGTTAGTTCTTTTCTATATGTACTTGACAAGATGTATTACACTTTTCAATATTCTTAGATATTATTTACTTAAATTTCAAAAGGAGTCATATTGTCTTCTTTATTATCACCTATAGCATTGGATTAGTTTTTATTAACTGATTTTCAATTAAATAAAGTATTTAATTAAAATATCTTGAACTAGAAAAATTGAAGTCTTAGAAATTATCAAGACAGAAAGTTTTGCAGTATTTATGAAAAATTAGATTAAAAGTTTTTCTTTATATAATCCTTTTGATAATACAATTATAGATCTGATCAATGAAAGATCAGAGTTATTTTTATATAATATAACCTAATTTTGATCTTATTTCAGATAATAGAATATAATTTTCACAGAATAACTAATAAATTGGATCAAAAAACAATCTTTTAATTTTGATCCTTAAGTAATATTGAACTACAGATCTTGTGATTGTAATCTGGAAGCATTACCATTATACTATTAATCCATAGGTTTTTTTGATTATCAGTTTTTTTTTCTGATAATGTAATTGTATTAGGATAATTCTATCTAATTTCAGATATACAACTATATTATAATTTTTATATAGATTATTTTATAATTACATCAAAAATCTTATTTAATTAATTAGCAATTATATTCAACAGTATCAATTAATTTATAATTATATTATAAAATAGATTTATTAATATCAGAAGTTGTCTCCTAAAGAATTTGATCTAATAATTTTATGATATGATTTATAAAGAGCCAATCACTATTTTATTGATTTATAGATTTACTATTCTTAATTATATTAAAGTTTTTTATATTTATAAATATAATTTTGTTTTTGAAAAATTTGAATTTTTATTTGAATAATAATAAATCAAAATTATAATTCAAAAATATTAATCAAAATATTAAAATTTATTTATAAAATCTAAAAATTAATATTTAAATTAGCAATATTATATTTATTACTGATATTAAATAAAAAAAAATAAATTATATCAAACCAAACTCATAATATAGCAAAATATTAATTATTCTCAAATACAATAATAACTTAATATATTTTTATATTTACAATAAGAAAATCATTTTAAAATAAGTATTAATTATTTGAAACTAGTAATGCAAAACCTAATTTTAAACTGACTTTTGACTTTACTAGTTAGGTTGCAATAGATTATGTTTTATTTCATGAAAAAAAGGTTGTGATTTTTTTTTAAAAAAAAATACTATATCTTAAATTTCATTTAGTTTATAAATCTAAAATTTTATTATTTTTTTTTTGCATTCAAATTTTACAAGATCTACAAGTTTTACTTAATGAATTGCGCACGAACAGATTGTTCTTTAAAAGCACATCATTAAACAAATAAATAACTTTACATATTCAATAAGATAGTCGTGTTTAAAATCATTAAGAGTACTATTTGATCAAATGTTCATTGTCCTTTATGCTTCTTCTCTCTAGGATCTTTGTAATGATAATCTAACTTGTATGTAGAAATAAGGTGTGGAGGTGGCGGAGGATCTGTGGTTTTGATGAGAACAAAAGCAGCAGCGGCCTAAAGAATTTTTTATTTTTTTCGTAGTTAGCTTTTGTAAATACAATTGGAAGAGATTGTCAATTATGAATAGTACCTGTGCCACACCATAGAATAACATTCCGATCAAGGGTAGTCTTACTAATGGATAGAAGCCAATGGAAAAGCCAAATAATATTCCTTCCCTTTCTCTGAACCATTTCCGTTTTTCTTTGTCTTCGAAATTGATTCTACCAAAGTAAGGCTCTAATAGTTCGCGCATCAAAGCTCTCGAAGAAAGTAAGGTTTCAAGAAAAACCATGGCAAATGGTTTTGTTCCCGGAGTAATATACATCAACACACCTACGGTAATAGCAGGTTTATAGCCTATAGAACGTATCAATGCATACGCACTGGCTACTGGATAAACAAGTGCCCCTATGAAGGGTAAAAGTGACAGAAAATATAGTAACACGGCTATTTTGATTTGGTTCCACATTCGCTTGAAATATTTATACACTTCTGTCCAGTCATAACTATATTTATAACGCTCTAAAGATAGTGCATATTGAGGACGTAATTCTTTTTCACCTTTATGTTTTTGAAGATAAATGTAATCAACATAACGGAGTGATTCGATAAACAATGAATCCAAAATTTGTGGATAAATGTACCGCATAAACAAAAGGCCTAAGAAAGGGAAGTTAAGTACATAATTGGTAATCCACAAATTATAATTTTCTGAGAGCAAATGGTGGTCATATTGAAATAAAAAAGAGAAAAGGTAAACAAGAAGTTGCAAAATTTTCAAAGGAATTATAAAAAGAGTGGAAGTAATAATGTATAGTATAATGCTAACTCCAACAAGATACCCGAATATCTTCATATAACTATGCTTGTGCAAGTGGGGATTTTGGAAAGCAAGTACAGAACCCAACCAAGCAAGCTGAACACCACGTATAACTTGTTGTAAAGACCAAGCCATTATTGTTTCCACGGATTATCTAAAACCTTGAACCACCATTAATATATCGAATTTTATTGGTAATCTTCCACGTGATTATGTTAAACTCATTATTAAACTTTACAATTTTTATTAGGCTTTAGACTTTAGAGTATTTATATCATATTATTCATGTAATCTTTAATGATATTTAATTATAGTAATTTATAAACTATATTTGATTTAATTGCAGATATTGTAAAAAAAGATAATAATAATAAAGATAAAAAAATTTTTTTAATTACTAAAGTTTTTTAATTTTTTAATTAAAAAAGTCTATTTTTAAAACATTTTGATAAATATTTTCAATGATTACTATTATATTTTTATTCTTATTTATAATCTTTTTAATCAAAAACTTGACTTCTAGTATTAAAAAAAGTTAAATAATATTTTTAATATTAATAATATAAAAAAAAATACTAATTATAAATACTTAAAAATTTTTTATCTATGAAAATATCTTTATAATATATTCATATCTCTTTTTTCACTTTTTCTATCTTGATTGTTATATATTCAGATTCAACTTTCTTGATTTTAATCCTATTCAGTATTATTTTTATTCTTTCTTTATTTGTTAAAAAGTTTACTATTTATTTATTATTGGTTCTTGGATCTTCGTATCTTTATTTAAGGACTGTTTTGATTTTATCTCTTACCTTTTTTTTTCTAGCTTCTGATACATAAGCTTAAGACCTTCTATTGCTTCTTGAATATTATTTTTTAAGAATGTTTAGGTAATAATAAGTTCTTAAAATATTTAGTATATAAATTTTTGCAGATCATTTATATTCCTTTTTGAGAGACAAAATTCATAGCTCTTCACTTTAATAGGGACAAAAGTCAAAAAATGCTATAAATCAATAATTTGAATAGTGAGAATAATTGTGAATAGTTTTTTAATAGTTATTAATTTAAAAATTTTAATGTTATCTAGTAAGAGACATTTGACTTTTATACTTATTTTCTTCTTTAAGGACCTTCTTTATATTCAAGAAATATTAGAGATACTATACTGGATACAATGGTTTTTTATCTTATGATTAGACTCATATACTCTATTATGCTTGTTAATAGCTGTACTTAAGATCTATAAGCTATTAATATTCTTTGTAGTTATGGCTTTTTTATAGAATATTATTAGTTATAGAGATCTTCTATATTTGATAAATTCTGAGCTATATTTATAATATTATATTTTAGTTAAAACAAATTTTTTTATTGTCAGCTTGTTGTAAGCTACTTAGCTTATTTGTTTTTTGAACACTTCCTAAATCTTATTGAACTAGCTTTATTTACTATTTTCTGATTCTATTTGTAATAATGAATCCAGTTTAATATTAAGTTTATATGTTATATTATTACTGAATACTTGTCACTATTTTTTCTTTTGATAGACTTTATTTTAGCTATTTCTGTTGTATTTGTTTTGAAGAAACCTATATTATATAGCATTATTACAAGCATAATATAATTATTATCTGTAATTTTTTCTATACTTTGATTATCAAACTATAAAATAGAATATCTTGTTAAGCTATATAACTATTACTTATTACATTATATCATATTGGAGTTTTGTTTTTTCTTCTCACATTACTTATATATCTATAAATCTTCACTTATTCAATATATTAAATAATATAATTTTTGATTACCAGAAAGATTTAAAGCTTGCTTTGGAGAATGATACTCTATTTTTAGTTAAATTATATACTGCATTGAAATCTTTTATTACTATTATATGGAAGTTGTTTTTATACTTTTCTTTAATAAAGCTTATCATATGTTTTTGCACTTTTTGACTTCTTTTTTTATTAGAAGGAATATAAACTTACATAATGCAAACTTTGTTTCTTCACATAAAAAAGTTGACAACTACTATATATTTATCTACCTCTTTTATATATATTATATTTTTTTCAAGTCTTTCTTAACTAAAAGATTGATACCTATTCCAAAAGGGTATTCTTATTAATGCTATAGAAGTATTTATAGGTATTTTGATTTTTAAAGACTCTTTTGTTTTGATTTTAGTTAGCTTTGTTTCATGTAATCCTACTATACCTATCCATAGTTTTTGAATTTCTTTAATAAGGTTACAGTATATTGTTTTGATCTTTCAGATATATCTCTAATGTTATATATATTTGTTCTTACTACATGCTTTTTTATATTATTCTCTTGTTTTTTTTCTATAAGTTGCTTTGTTTTTTCATTATTGTTTAAAAATTTTTTTCTCTCTATTTGCAAAAATATATCGATATCTTGATTACCTTATAAACAGACATTGGAATCTTGATTATTCTGAATTCTCTTATTGTTTTTTGTTTTTATTTGTTGAGGTTTACCCTTGTTCTTCATATTGGTATTGAAAATAATTGACTAATATTTCCCTTTTTTCTATTATTAGACTGATGTGCCTTTCAAAAATAATTGGTTCAACTTTTTAATAGATCTTTTTTTAGCTTGTCTAGTCTTTTACCAGCTTGTCTAGTCTTTTATTATGCCTTTTGATTATCTTGCTTAGCTACTGTATAATACTTTAAACTTCTGAGTAATGGTCAACTCTTTTTTGGTCTCACATCTTATTCTCTATCTGTATAATTACTTTTTATTGAGGGTTCATTGTCCAGTTTCAGATTAATCTTATATGGTTTGATTTGATATTTGACTTCTTCTTTTTTCTATTGGTTTTCTATTGCTATCAGTAGCTAAAAAGATAGGTTTTGCTATTTGTTTACTAATTCTTGACTAGTGACGATTATTAGTTTTATATTGTATTCTTGATATTTTTTTTCCATTTATTTCAAAATAAACTTTACTTTCTTCTTTTTGACTTTATATTTTTGTATATCACTCTTATAGACTATTGTAACTGGATTTTCTGAACTGGTCAAAGTTATTGATACTCTATTGCTATAGTAATTTTTTACACTCCATTCTAGTCTTTAATTATTAACTTTAATCTGCTATTGGGGTGACTCTTTCAAATCTTTTTTTATTTTCAAAATAAACTACTATATAATTTTTTAAAATCAAGGTGGTCTTGTTTTTTAGTATATAAAAGACTTTGGTCTTTATATAACTTAATACTTTATTTATTAATTCAGTAGACATTCCATCAATTCCATAAAATCTCAAGAAGTATTGTTTTTTTTTTTTTAATATTTGAGTGACTTTTTTATTATCTAGTTCTTTATAAGCTATTACAGATCACACTTGATTAGATTTTATCTCAATTATTTAACTTTGATTCAGATTAATATATTTATTATATATATAAAGATGGATTCTAAATCTCTTCTAATGAAATTATATTTAGTATTTATAAATATTGACTATTTTTTTATATTCTTTTATTGCTTGTTTTATTAAAACTTTATTATATTTGTGATTTGTGTCTACTAAAGTGATATATTTAAATTTATTTTTTGGTAAGGAGAAGTTTTCTAACTTGAAGAATTTTTTTGTTTTGAGCATACCTCTAGAAAGCTGGTTGCATACTCTTGTCTTTAGCTATTTTTTTAATTGTAAAATTTTCTTCTTCTTTTTATTAATAAATTCTAAATATCTTGCTATGTTCTTTTCTTTATCAAAGCTAAATATAATCTAGTGATTGCCATTAATAAATTCAATTTTGAAAGAATTTATTCTCTTAGATATCTTTAGTGCTCCTTTAAAATACTTGATTCTTTTTTCATTGATTTCTCCTAATAATGTTGCTTAGAGTATATCCATCTTAATTAAGTCTTGTTATTTGATAAAAAATAGATTTACTGTAGAACTTTGAATTCTATTTCTTGTGCTATAAGAAATATTGTCAGTAACAGTTTTCTTGTACTGTTTTTTTTTTAACCTTTTTATATTAGCTTTAGCTTGTTTTACTGTTTTTCTATTTTTTATTATTACTTCTTTAATAAATATTTCTTCTTCATATTTTGTAAAAGGTAGTTGAACCTCTATTGAAATATTCTCTATTATTATAACTTCTTCTTGAATAGAGCTTGATGGGTGATTTGTTAATTTATTTATCAATACATTATATATCTTTTCTTTTAGTATATGGTTGCTTCCAAAAGTTTGAGTCCACTTACTATGTTTTTATTATAAATTTCAACTTTAACAATTTTTAAATCATTAA